AGAGAGAGAGAGAGAGAGAGAGAGAGAGCCTGGATAGAAACATAGAAACACGAGCTGTTGTTTTGTGATGCGAGACTAAGATTGGACCGTTTGAAGCTCACGAACAACATTAGAGACGGAGGATGGAGGAAAAGCTGCCTGAAGATCTGGCGAATCTCTCCGAGCTGGACGAGAAAAGTTTGCTGGAGGTTTTGACTGGACGCTTTACACAGAACCTCATCTATGTGAGTAAAGTACAACTTGTAGAAATACTCAGAAATACCACACATCACTGTGTGAGGTCTGAAGTAAAGCAGCTGAGATGATCAAATCAACAGCTCTTGTTCTGTGGGACAGATGTTATTCTCTGACTGTATGTAAATCACTTAGATATGAATTTTTATATGTTTACAGACCTATATAGGGGACATCTTGGTGGCTATTAACCCATTTAAATATCTTTCAATTTATGTAAAAGAGGTAAGTGTTTCTTTAGCTACAAAGAAGATTTGTGTCCAGAAAGCATGTTTAAATCAGTAATTAAGCTGTTATCCTGTGCAGGTGTCCGAGCAGTACAAGTGCCATGAGAAGAAGTCTTTGCCCCCTCATATATTTGCTGTGGCGGACCGGGCGTATCAGTCCATGCTGGGACATCTGGCCACGGGACCCAAGAACCAGTGTATCGTGATCAGGTTTGTGTTACGAGCAGATAATTCACCAGAACCAGTGGTTTCTCCAGGAGAGCATGTCTGAGGGGTCTTTAGCCTCTAGATGGTCATATGGTGGCGTGTGTCAGACTCAGTACAGAATTACATTTCTTGCCCAGTCACGTTTGTTTTTTTCAGTGAGACATGTATAGACAAGACCTGCGTTCCCTTTTTTGACATATCAGATAAGAGTCCTGGTGTCTGTTTCATTTAAAAACACAAGCAGAAGTTTATTAACATACTGTTGTTTCCACCACAGAATTTAAAGTTTTTTAAAATAACATGATTTTTTTTTTTTTTGTTGCAATTGTGAGGTCATACCTCACAATTTCGCAATTGCGAGTTTATATCTCGCAATTCTGACTTCTTTTCTCACAATTTTGACTTTTCTTCTCAGAATTGCGAGTTTATATCGCGCAATTGTGAGTTTTTGTTTCAATTGTGAGAAAATTTAATTAGAATTGTGTTAAAATATTATTATAATGATGTAAAATATATAATGATTAATGTAATTATTTTGTATTTACTTTATATATATATATATATATATTATTTTTTTTAATTTATATTTCTATATTTAGAGTTGTGCCTCTTTTCTCGCAGTTCTGAATTTACATCTCACAATTCTGAATTCTTCTTTTTTTTCTGTCATGGAATAAAAAAAAAAATAGGTAAATGTGAAATTTTATATCGTAGTTGCGAGTTTGTAAGTCTCACAATTACGACTTTTCTTTGCAGAATTATGTGTTAATTCTGAGATTATATCTCGCAATTGTGACTTTTTTCTCACAGTTGCTAGTTTTCTCAGAGTTAATTCTGAGTTTTATGTCTCAGTTCTGAGTTTATATCTTGCAATTCTGAGTTTGTTTTTTTTTCAGAATTGTGAGAAAATGTCAGAATTGTGAGATATAAACAAAAGTCACATATTTTTATTTTTTATCCCTTGTTTTTTTTATATCTAATCTGAAAACAAATGTGAGATTCCTTGACTTTTCAGGCACAGACCTTTAGCCTTTTATATACTTAATGGTTTAAGTATATATCTGTTATAACTTTCAAACTGTCAGGTGAGCATTCTGACTTTGTATTGACAAACTTTTCTTGTCTAGTTTAAGTTTCGTGCTGTATCAGATGAACTGTGAAAGTTTCAGATAGATTTCAGTTCCTGGATTCCTCCATAACGTAACAGCATGGTTGATAGCTGTACTCGTTGCGGTATCATATTTAAGGTTTTTCCTAAGTGCAGCCTTCCTCTGAGACTCTGCACTGCTGCTTTAACATTAGGATGGTTGGCTTAATGTATTTTTCAGAAAAGGAGCCTCATGGTAAATTTCTCAGTAGCATTCTGTACATTGATAGGGAACGGAGCAGTGCTACAAGACCATCAGAAGACAAAAAGTTGGTTTGCTTTCACAGTCACTGGGCAACAGACTTTCTCTGATCATGTAAACAGTAAACCCACAACCCTCAATAGAGGCCAGTGGTCACCTCTAGAAACCATACAGCTGAGACCAGTACTGGTGAAGGGAGCCTGATAATCACCCAGACAACTGGGACAGAATGCTTTTGAAGCATACAATGACAAGACTAGACAACACAACCATAAACGTATCCCTATGTCATCGATTATTAATAATGCTGCTATATTTGGAAAGACGGTATGATGTTTGATGTCGTAATGTTATTGTTGCTCCCAAGTCTATATAGATTGACTTTGAAATGAGATCAAAGGTCATGCACCTTTTTGTGGAAAATATTGATTAGTTCCAGACTTTGGATTGTGGGTGGATCTCTTAAAAGCTCTCAAGAACAATTTTGGATCATATTGTAAACAACTTTGTATTGTAAAAATTATATTATATTATTAATGTATATTGAAAATGAAGCCTATTTTTGTACCATTACAATTAAAATATAGATAGATAGATAGATAGATAGATAGATAGATAGTGTGACATCGTGAGGGTATGTAACATGTAAGTTAAAGAACCATACCACAATGTCTTGTTTAAGAAAACTTTATTTATTGTTTTTTTTTCACTTGTTGCAGTCACATGGAAGGTGCACATTCCAGTGTGACTGGTGTTTGTTGGTGTGGGGTCTTGGTCTTTGTAAATAAGAAAAGGTACATGGAAATTAGACAAATAATGTTTGTTGGATAATGATGATTCTCTTTGTCTTACCTTTCCCTTTGGAGCTTCCTAGTGGGAGGGGCCGGCCCGCAAACAGGAAGCCATATTTATTCCATCCATGGGCGGGGAGGAGCTTACTCACTGAGAGTGTGGAGAATGTTATTTGAATGTTATTTGGGATGCATGTCTTTTAAAATGCACATTGGGTTTCATGATGGAAAATAGTGTGTATTAAAGAAGATGCTAATGTCAATGTTTGTATGATGATGTTGAAGATCATGGACATTTTCAAGTGAAGTTTGGGCTAATTAGATCGTAATTGAAATAGTATTATCATTGGACTGTTTGAATTTGAGGGGAGGAGCCCTTCTTATAAAAGCCTAACTGTTTGGTAAAGAAAAGGGAGAGAGGGACAAAACTGAATCTTAGTTGGATTAGTGGCCAACGCTCTCTTTATGTGAAGGGCCAATCTCCTGTGTAAGTTTTCTTTTGGTTTTGTTTTATTTGTATTTTTTTTTTGTTTTGTTCGGAAACACGTTGGATGACTTCTGTTCCATTGCTTGATGCATGCCTGAAATGACAATTAAAGCAACCTCAAGAGACTTCAGAGTTTTTTGCTTGTTTTTGCCGCCTACTTTGTCACTGCCAAGAACGTCCGCACTACAGATAGATAGATGATAGATAGATTTAAAAAATGAAAACTAATGAAAATGTAAAAAAAACACACAACAAAATGACAAACTTTAACTAAGTTAAATTGAAAATGGAAAATATACAAATAAAAACTAATTCTAAATATTATTAACTATAATAGTCTTGATAGATATATATATATTTATATCATTTTGTCACTAAATTTGCTACATTTAATATATACTAATTACATTTTTCAAAAAGTTGTGTCTTGACCAGAATGAATTTCTTGAGAATTGCAGGCAAGCTCAAAAGTGAAACATCCGTGTCTGTAATGGTTTTTAATTGACATGAAAATAAAGTCCAGATAAAGACTTCTTTTGATTCTGCTGTTAAATAGGAACTGGACATGTTTTTGTTTTCTCTTGTATCTTGATGCACTTCAGTTCCACTTTTGTGACCCTGTCCCATGACACCAGTGTTTATTTTACTACAGCACTAACAGTCTGATATGTTGTATCCATTTGTGCCGCAGTGGTGAGAGTGGCGCGGGGAAAACCGAGAGCACCAAACTGCTGCTGAGACACATCATGGAGCTGTGCAAGGCCAACTCACAGCTAGAGCAGCAGATCCTGCAGGTATGGCCAGTCAGATCTGGCATCTGAATACAGCCACCAGGTTTGCACAGATTAGGACTTCAGTGAGAAATGATTGCCCGCTGCGTTCAGGTGGTGGGGGTTTGATTTACACACAGGAAGGCCACTGCTCGTGTGTGTGTGTGTTAAAGGCACATGTGTGGTTTCTGACATATTCAAATGGTGGGTATATGGGGTGTGTTTAATTTGTTTGTTATAATGTGTTTTCAGGAATGGCTTAAAGAGCCCATGAAATCAGTCTTGGACTTTTGTGGCTTCTGTGTCTGTTAGCGTTGAGGTCATCTCAGGGTTTCTGCAAGTCTTAAAAACGTCTTAAAAACATCTTTAAAAGTCTTAACTCACCCTTCCAGAAGTTACGGCCTTAAAAAGGTCTTAAATCAGAGCAGACAGTCTTAAATTCATAGTCATGGCATTAAATGTTGCATGCACTGCAAAAAAAAAAATATATATATATCTTCCTTAGTATTTTTGTTTTCTTTTCCAATACAAATACCTAAACATTCTTAAATTTGGATACATTTACTTGATATGCAAAATGAAGATATGAAGTCTTGTTTTTGCACAAAATTATGTGTTTATGCTTAACAACAATCAAAAACAAATATCTGTCAATGGTGAATGAAAACTTGTTTTTCCTTTGAGTTAAGTTGATTTTTCTGAGCCCATTGGCAGATATTTTTTCTTGTTTTAATCATAAACTCACTTTATTTTGACTGATTTCTCAAAAAACAAGAGTTGCTATCTGATGTCATTTTGCAATTATTATTATTGTTTTTATTTAATAAAAACTTTTTTGCAGTGTCATCAGAAGGTACAGTAAAAGTTATTTCAATATCATATTTTTTGTAAAATGTATCAAAAATAATGAAAATCTGTATGAAGCTGTATTTTCAAACTTTAAAGTGTTGCTAATGCAACTTTTATTGATAAATTATGTTCCCTTCAATTTATTCCTTAAATTTTCTTTAAAATGGTCTTGAAAAAGTCTTAATATTCCTTCATAAAACCTAAAGAAACCCTGCATCTTCATGCTAGTGTAAACCTAAAAGATTTAGCAGATATACACATGCAAAAGCTTTTTCTTCCAGAAAAATGCCTAAAGAAAATGATTACTCATCTTGCAGTTGAGGCGTTTTTATCTAATCAAATGCGCTTTAGAATGAGAACACCCACTTATAATAATAATAATAATAATAATAATAAATAGCAAATCAAAAAAAAAAAAGCAAAAGGCTCTAAAATCAATCCCTCTTAAACTTTATATATAAATACTCATGTGATTTCATGTGGTGTTTGAAAATATGTGGGTGCGGCGGCAATATTTTTGTAAGTTGAGGTCTCGGTTTGGTTTGAGGAACAGATGTGCATGGTAGAGGTTATTTCTGTTTGTTCCTTCAGTACTTCCTGGTACAGTCTAGTGTTGTGATTTGATAGGAATTGGCATTGTTCTTATCTTTCACCATCTTGACCCGCTCAGATCTGTAATTATAGGCCGTAGCCATTTCCATGCTGTCATGTTCACGCTGAAATTCATCATGTCTGCCACTGCGTCAATGTAAACATTACAAAACACCCAGGTTCCATTACGTCTTTCGCGTTTCAACAGCAGGTTGGCTAATTTTAATGTCGATTGCACCACGTAGTCAAAAACGTGTCGGTTGTGATTGTTCAAGAAACACCAGGTATAAACTAAGATAATATAAGTTTCCTGTGTTGCTTCAGATCATTGAAACTGACTTTATCGTGAGATGCGCTTTCAGGCAGTGAAATGTCCAGTTCTTGGCACATCATATGCTCTCCTAGCATCAGTTCTGATGAAATGAGAAATGAGTTGCTTAAGTTGCGAATGACTGTGTGTTCTTGAGTGAGTCTAGAGACCCTCACTTCTGTAAACTCATGCTGAAAACCCATGCTGGTTGGTTATTTTGAAACCCAGTATGTATTGATATCCATCTTTGTCGTTACTATAATTGCTGCTGTTTTACTTCTGCTGCTGTAGGTTCGCTGGCTTTGCAATGTCCTGTTTTCACTGCTGGTTCATGATGTTTGTTTGCAGAACCTTTTCAGAGTGAGAAATATGACATCTTTTAACCCTGGAGGGTTTACATTCATATGCAATTTAATAGTAGATCTACTTTACATATGTTTAGATAAATCAACTACTTACATAAACAAATGAATGCTGTCAAAACAACCATTTTGATTGTGGGACCGTTAGGTTGTCCTGGTTTTCTAATGTGTGTATAGGAACATTAGCACAATGTTCTCAGCAACGTTTGTTAAATGTTGATTTGTAACGTTTTATCTTAAGGCTTTAACGTTTGCATTACTTGAATGCTATAAACAATTATTTTGCTAACTATTTTTTTCCCCTATTGTTGGAGTTAAGAACATTAGCTATATTTCCATTCATGTATTTTTATGCAAATTTTGGGATATAACTTAAAAACAACTAATTAAAGTGATGATTTAGTTTTTATGAACGCATGGAATGGAAACGGTGCTTTATTTGCAAATGTTTTATGCAATATTCAAATTTTCCGCATAAGTTGATTTATTCAAAAACATAGCTATTGAGAACAATGAGACATTCAAACACTGGGAAAATGTTTTATCGGTCACACTGTATATTATCGGCCGATATTTGGCAATTTTTTAAATATCGGCATTGGGCAATACGTTTTTCTGGTTGGCCAACAAGAGTCATGAGTTTATTTTGACAGCATTCAGTAAATACATATTTTAAGCAAGTCTTTAAATATCTAATAAACATTTCATGCCACAAACCTCACGATCTTCGATGAAAGTATAAATCTGTTTATTTTTACAATTCAGATTAATTTTTTTTTTTTTCAAATTGATCATTTTAGTAAATATTATGTGAAATAAATATAAATTTCATTGCAGAGAAGAATCTTTGCATTAAATAATCCTATATCATGTAGGCCTGTATCGGCTTTATATAGAAAACATAAGGATGTTGAAAATATGTGAAATATGTGCTTTCTGCATCACTAGTCCATGCAAATGTAATAAAAAAAATTTTAAACAGGTTTTCCGAACACTTCATCCATCTGCCATTGGTTAAGCCAAGATTTTGACATGTCTGAGCACTCGAACTGGTTGCCAGCGTGTTTCCAAAATTGTATGAACATTTTCTCACAACTCTTTCAGGAAGACAGGATGTCTGGGGGAGCTCAGAGAGACATCTGAGAAGTTTAGGAAGTGACCATGACTCTCTAAAGCATTGCATCAGCCAGAACAGTTCACCCGCTGGTGTGACTCAGGAAAGTCTTTCTGTTATATTACCCGATCAGGACGTGATACACTTTGACCCCATTTGCACATGGAGTTGGCAACCTTTGCTACATGTGACTTCTCCTTCTGCATTTGTGTTTCCGTATAACACATTTCAACATCCTGTTCCTACGATGTGTGATGTGCTTTAAGGCCGGGGATACACCAAGCCGACTTCAAAGAACGGTGTTGTCGCCTTGCGTTGGCAGCGTCTGGACCAAAAAGCTGCGCTTGAACACATGGCACAGACTACAGCTGACTGCAAACTAACACATGCATTCTGCGTCTGCGTGAGAGGAATTAACTGTCTATTTCAGCAGCTATCAATAGTATATATTCGTCATTCAAAAGGAGAAACCAAAACAAGGTTTAATACGAGATATATACGCAGATATACGAAACATAAAAAAAGCAGTGCTTGCTTAACATTTTGAATATCAGTTATGTTGATAACTTTCTTCATTTTAAGCAGCTCGTGTTATGAAAATATTCGCATATTTGAATGCTTGGGTAAGATCACGTAACATTAGAACAGCCTTCTGTCTGTGCCGCCTTCATTTACTTACTAGTTTTCATCACTTTTGCTTTAATTCTCCGGCACTGACTCGTTCGCTAAACTGAACGTCCAATCAGGGTTCTCACTCTCACCGACGGCCCCAACGCCGATTCAACATTTTGAATCGGGCAAACTGCAGCCGATGTGGTTTAAGACATCTGGGGGGTATTCCAAAAAGCAGGTTATGTGACATACCCGGGTATCAGGCCCGGATTGGTTAATCGGGAGCACCGGGAGGATTCCCGGTAATTCAAAAATTCCATTTGTAATTTCACAGTATTTTCACCTCCTCAATTACACATGTGAAGTCACAATTCTGTAATGGTACAATTTACTCAGGCCGATGACATTTTTTGTATGACATTTAAAATTCTTTTTAGAATAATTGTACATAAA